TCTTTGCCATCACTCTTCTCATAGCATTAAATTCCACTGTCTCCATCAACAGTACATTATTGAACAAGGAGGATAAATCAACAGATACCATAAGCTTGTCATTCCCATTAAGATCTCTTATTTTTCCGACAAATTCAAAACTAGGGTTTAAGCTATGTTTTACCGAATCTTTTTGCAGAAGTTTCAGGAGCTTCATCAACCATCTGAAACCCCCGCATAGCGATTTGGTAAACCGTAGTTTAAACCCTAGTTTTGAATTTGTCGGAAAAATAAGAGATCTTAATGGGAATGACAAGCTTATGGTATCTGTTGATTTATCCTCCTTGTTCAATAATGTACTGTTGATGAAGACAGTGGAATTTATATGTGGTGAGATTACTAAGCGAAACATAGACATCGGCATTTGTGTATCTCCCTTAAAGGAACTTGTTTTAAGATGTACAATGAACTTAAGCCCCCTTTGTGTATTCAAAAACAGTTTGTTATAACTCTTAACCTACCTTGGTAATCCTTATTTGATTGGATTACCAAACGTTTTTGTTAATTATTCTTAATTCTTTTTTTGTCACTTTGTTTAATTTAACTTTTCCATATATATTGACTTGACAAGTAAATGTGTGATCAGATTGTTCGAAATGTATAGCGCAAATACATCACATTTTTCAGATAATCTCCGTCTTCTAATAATGCTATCAAAATTGTCCAAATCGTCTTATTTTTCTTTAAGAACCTGTTACGGAATCAACTTGGGCACTCGCTTATTCCATAATTACGCCTCATTTTTCCAAAATTACGTATTATGTGATCCAAGTGTTGCAACCATTTCTACCTTTTAATTGTGTGTACTAACTTTCACCCCACTAAAATGTTGATACTGACTAATTATTGTTAACAGAAATATCGCCACTTGATTGGTAAATTGTTGTGTATTATAATAAAAATGCTGTATATTTATTAGAGTAGAGCCAGAGATGAGGATCTAATTGAAAAGTAAATTTTTCTTCGCTCAGTCCTTTTGCTTTCTAATATCAAACTGTTGGGGGCGCCACACTGTGGTAGGTGTTTTTGAGCAGGACTGACTAAGTTCCTAGAGCAATCTGCGTGCATATACTATCTCTTAGAATTATGATATTACTGATTGGATGTTATACAGGAAAAAAAAACATTAGTGTTGTCAATAAGAATAATTCTAAAGAATTTTTATAGATGCATATAACTGTAGAAGGTGATGATGAAGACAAGGTAATCGAAAAGAGTATTCTTTGTTCACTAGTAATCTGTCTTTTGAAATTTCCAATAATAAAAGTGTTAATATAATTTACAAAATATCTTGAGTTTAGTGTCCGACTAACTACATATGTGGGTCAGATGTCTAGATCACCACTTAAGATAATAGTGTGAAACAGTATAAACCTCTGACTAGCCATGGAGCTCTAGGAGAATACTTAGACCTTCTGAAAGATATTTTCACCCAAGAAGTGGATACCCAACTGACAAGAATACCAAAGCACACAAAAGTTCACAGAAGTGAAACATTATACCAGAAAAGCGGAACCTCACATGAACGCTACACTATTGATATCCTTAAGAGGAGAATTTGGGTATCTGATCACCCTTATGTTTATTCATATCAGTTCATCTGTTCCTATGGAGAGAGATGTATTGGTCGTTCGACGCGTATTCACCTCACATAGTTGTGGAAAGCTAGCAATATAGGCTTTATAGTGAAATTCAGTATATGGACACAAACGGAAAGAGAGACTACTAGTAACAATGGAATCCATATACTCACCATTAAGTTCACTTCACCCCGAAAACATGCAACAAAGGTGATGCAGTCGGCAGTTTTTCGTTCAGCAAAGAAATATTTCTTTCCAAGCTGTACTGTCTTATTTATATTACTGAAAGTGGCATTAAGTGGCACTAGAAATCGCTCAGTCAATATACATACGATAAGAATAAATATAATTAAAATGCTGTATTAAGGGGGTAGAGTTGAAGTGGATGAATTACAAAACTTTTAAAGATTATTAAATAAGTGAATTGGTGTTAGAGGTTTATAAGTAGGTCAAGAGTTGTCTAAGAACTTAAGAGTACGAAGATGGTAACAAAAAAGACGGCGAAGGTGAAGTCAATTGTGGAATGAATTCAAGAGGTAAAATAGAATGAAATAAAAGAACATTACTATGACCAAGGTAAAGAAACGTTTTTGAACACACCATCTAGGATTCTGTCCATTTATTGTTAGAGCTTCGGTTATACCACAGTGGAGAAAACTTAAGCTTTTGGAGTGGTTGGATTCGGTCCTGTAGATAACTTCAAAGGATAAATCACATAGGGCTGAATGACTTCATCCCAGAGGGTGTTCACAGACTGAAGACTTTATCGCCCTTTGCTCACTTTCCATTAATCGGGAGAACTCGAGGAAATACTTACTTCACAACCACTGAAATAAGCACTGAAGCAAGATGTCGTCTAGAAAAAGGACTTTCGATTGATTGAAAGTACGGAGAAAACAACCACACAGGAAAACAATTGCACGTTCATGGAGTCATATGTCTCTGGTTAGTTAAGGCAACCTACTATCACCCAGTCTCAGCTTTTACAGTTTGTTAATTCTTGTATTCTACCTATTCTTCTCTATTGCACCGCAGCTTTAATCTTTTCTGGACTACTTGAGAAAGACTTTGTTACAATGAGAAGGGCAGGAAGAGCTGTCAGTAGGCCGAGTGGGGTGTCGCTAAACCAACTTGTTGATAGTGTAGTAGACAGTGGAATCATGATCATGGAAGAAATTAGCGAATCATATCTTTTGTGGGACAGACTGTGAGCATTCTCTTCATGCACAACTCACCACACTTGCATCTCATCAGGTATGTAGGACTAGAAGCAACTATAGAAGACTTTATGTTGTTGTTAATATTTTCACTTAAATTTTAATTAAGCATTCATATCCTTATTGACGTTACTGTCAATGCAAATGCCTTGTTAGTTATTTAATTAGATGCAACATATAGTAATATATGCTGAAAATTTCACATTGTATCAAATGTACCGTTTGAAATAAAACTGTTATTATAAATACCCTTGTGAATTAACATGTGAAAATTAGTCTGGTGCTTACTAGTGGTGACTGACTGACTGAAAACAGGATGAAGTTGCCTGAATTGTTCTGCTTGGCATTCATGACCAGCAGGGCTTACCGAGTAGACAGGGGTTATGGAAAGTTAGAAATTATGGGATGGTCAGTGGATTCGGTTCTTCCAGTAAGTGAATGGTTAACGAGTTCACCGTGTAATCTGAAAGTCCTTGGTGCTGCCACTGGTGCGTACAATGATGAAGAGGAGTTCCAGAAAAGTAAAACTTTAAACGCCTACGAGGCACAAATGCCCTATCAGTCACCTAGGAAAGTTATAACGCTAAAAGGCTAGTGTGTTTCCTTAAGTCAACACTAACCCTATTATTTAAATCATGGGATTCAGATTGATTACAGCTGTCGCCACCCAACATCATTTGGACACATCATTGAAAATCAGGGAGCACTAAACATCTGTCTTGTTCCATCTTGGGACCTCTTGGCGATGTGCATGGAAAACCTTACCAAGCATCGAACCACCCCGCGACCTTCAGGTTACAAGACCAAGTTGTTTGACAACCATTCAGACACTTGGGGAGCGGGTGAGGGAAGAACTCAATCATCCTTTGTGAAGCCTTACTGAGAAGCGTGGTGTAAAGTGGATGCTCATCGAAGGCACTACTTGTTGGTTATACCGCTCTATCACGAACTGAAAAAATTAGAATCCACGGATCAATGAATGGTTAAGATAACATGAAGGTTCCCGATTTGATCTTCGACGACGTCGGGGGTATACACTGCTGTTGGAGAGTCAGTCGCAAACAAGGAGGATGATACAGATATCCAGCGTGCTCCCTGCTGTTGGTTTTCACTAATCTCTAACTGATGTATGTCAGCCAGTCAATCAGTTTGTGATCGTCATTCTTGAAATCTATCTAATCCCCCCCCCCCAACAGAAACCCTGGAAACCAACCAACAACTGAAAAATCTACATTTCAATCTTCCAATATTATCATCTTTGTTAAATGGCTGAAGGTAGTCGGCAGGAAGCCCTACCCTTCTGACCCAGGTTTCGTGTTTGTTGGCGCTCACGTGAGTCAGGAAGTTGTGTGTATCTGCAGTCGCCTTGTAGGAACTCATATCCCTTCTTCTTTTTCTTCTTCTGAGATTCGAACCCACGTCACCCAGTGTTGAATTCAGAGATACACTTTACCACTGAGCTATTCTGCCTAGCGATTGATCTACTGCTGTGGGATACTTTGATTGGTCACAATAAGTGGTAAGTGGGGTAATGACTTCCTTCTTATCGATTGCCTCCAAACACAACATGATTTTCCTTTTACTGTAATGTCCATTTAAGGATAGATTGAATAAATAAATAAGTAAATAAATTGTGGCCTCTAATCCACTCCCATACAATTTAGTACTTCCATCTCCTCCCCCCCCTCCCCTCCGCACACACTTATACACCCTTATTTTACCCCTACCTTTTTAACTTCCTGATGTTCGAAAGTTGACCTTTATATGGTTTTTATAACCACAACAAAAAACCAGTAAAATGTTTGGTTTCTACATATATGGATAAATCTCCAATGGGATTACCAATCATTTATTCTCCAATTCATCCCAATCTCTCCCCTCCCCTCCCCACAGCGCCACCACTGAAATCATTCAACTGAAATGTGCCTCCTTATTGATTGAAAATCATGGGGCATATATACATAAATCTGGCCAAGGTGACACACATTCAAGTATTCTGTGCTGAGTGTGTGCACGTGTGTGTATCCGACACATACACACAAGCCAGTAGTTGTAGTAAGAGTAGTAGTGATGATGAAATTTCAAAATTTAAATAAACCAATCACCGTAGGCCAAACTGTTCGATGACCATAAATGGACATTGCGCTTAGTTGAATGGACAAAAAGAAAACTGCATAAATTGTGCTTCAACTTTGTCAAGCTTTCATATTGTGGTTCGCGTTCGTTGCTTGCACAGCTTTTATCCGTTTCAAGTTATAACTAGTTATAACAACAATCATGTCCGACGAAGAAGTTCAGGCCCTTGTTGTAGACAATGGTTCCGGTATGTGTAAAGCTGGTTTCGCTGGTGACGATGCACCAAGAGCTGTATTCCCTTCAATTGTTGGACGACCTCGTCATCAGGTAAGCGACTGTTTAATTCATACTATTTTATTATAATGAATATCATATACAAAATGCCCAAATTTTTTCAAACTGTTAAAAGTGAACTTCGTTTGGACATAAATATTTTATGTTACATCTATAATACCTGATACACTGTTGAGTAGTGTTCAACAGTGACCAGTACTTCTTTCTATGCTTCAAGTATATTGGAGGATTTAGATTTGTTGATTGGTTGATGATAGAAACAGGCTTTGAGCCTGTGTTCGTTAATAATTCTCTTCTAATCCTTTACTAAGTAATTATCTTTGCCAGTCTAGTCCCTGCTTCTTGAAGTTGGTTCCAGCAGTTTATGATTCGGTAGAATAACCAGTCAGTTCTGCAAAAGCAATCCAACTCTTCTCTTGGCTTTTGAACTCTCGTTGTATGCCGTCTGAGATGTTCTTAACCATCAAGAGGGAACTAGAAAAGTTGTTTCATAGAATTATACGCATTGTAACGAGATTACTCCCTTCTCTCTCTCTACCTACTACTGTATAATTAGGAGAACAGATTTTAACTGTTAGGAGACTAGTCATACCAGACAGAAATCATACATGTGATATATAGGTTCCTCTTAAGACGAGAAGGGAAGGCTGTCCAGGTACAGTTTTGCTAGTTTCGACCTCATCAGAGATTTCAACTCCACAGACATTGAAGTGGTGAAGATGTTTCTTACCTGTAATTGCTTCTATTTGTTTTGTGCAGCCAAACTAATAATCGTTGCCTTGCCTATCTCATTCTCCTTGTTCCACAGGGTGTCATGGTTGGTATGGGTCAGAAAGACAGTTATGTCGGTGATGAAGCTCAATCGAAACGTGGTATTCTCACCTTGAAGTATCCCATTGAACACGGTATTGTCACCAATTGGGATGATATGGAGAAGATTTGGCATCATACCTTCTACAACGAATTACGTGTCGCCCCTGAGGAACATCCTGTCCTTTTGACTGAGGCTCCATTGAATCCGAAAGCCAATCGTGAGAAGATGACACAAATTATGTTCGAGACATTCAATACACCAGCGATGTATGTGGGTATTCAAGCTGTCCTGTCATTGTATGCCTCCGGTCGTACAACTGGTATTGTGTTGGACTCTGGTGATGGTGTCACTCACACTGTGCCAATCTACGAAGGTTATGCTCTTCCACACGCTATCCTACGTTTGGATCTTGCTGGTCGTGATTTGACTGACTACCTGATGAAGATTTTGACTGAACGTGGTTACAGCTTCACAACAACTGCCGAGAGAGAAATCGTTCGTGATATCAAGGAGAAGCTGTGCTATGTTGCCTTGGACTTTGAACAAGAGATGGCCACTGCTGCATCAAGCTCATCTTTGGAGAAGAGTTATGAACTGCCCGATGGTCAGGTCATCACTATTGGTAATGAACGATTCCGTTGTCCTGAGGCATTGTTCCAACCAAGTTTCTTGGGTATGGAATCTGCTGGTGTCCACGAGACCACCTTCAACTCGATCATGAAATGTGACGTTGATATTCGTAAAGATTTGTATGCGAACACTGTGTTGTCTGGTGGTACAACCATGTTCCCTGGTATTGCTGATCGTATGCAGAAAGAGATCACCGCCTTGGCGCCAAGTACAATGAAGATTAAGATTGTTGCTCCACCTGAGAGGAAATACTCCGTCTGGATTGGTGGTTCTATTCTCGCCTCACTGTCCACCTTCCAACAGATGTGGATCTCGAAACAAGAATATGATGAATCTGGTCCAGGTATTGTTCATCGTAAATGCTTCTAAGTCGCTTTAACCTTGTATAAACAGAAATCATTTATGAATTATTATTATTATTGCTACTATTTACCTTTGATCGTTATCCGCTCAACAAAGTTATCAAAATAAAATTTATCTTATCCACCCTTATTTCGACTTGTTTTGTTCCTTTCTCTTTCTGCCCCGAGGTGTAGACTTATGTATTATGTGGAATTAAGGCGTTGTTTCTAAATCAGGATTAGATACGCCGACAGTGGAATAGGAGGAACGTCTACGAAGTTTGCGAAGAAGGTCTGAGTGGAGTCGATACCCGGTTATTCAAGGTACTCTTGAAAAATGCTCTTAGTGTGGCGACCGGTGTGAGTCTAACATACCTTGTGTAAGAGAAAAATTCGTTAGCATATGTAAAACTTTGGCACTATGGTACTATGAAATTTCGTATTACTTTTTTTACTAAATATATCGTGGTATTATTTATTACTCCCTTGGGTTCCCAGCTGGACACAGGGTCTCATCAGCACTTCTCCATTTTGTCGTGTTCTTTTCAGCTGAACCCATAGTTGCTCATAAGCTTTCAAATCACACAATGAAATAGTATTATTATTTAGTGGATGAAAAAGCTTCGGACAAAATTTATTATGGTTAATAATCATAATAATTTTAACAGCTCTGCTTTGAAACCTCCGTTTCATAGTTTTCTGCATTCCTTCCCTTCCGTCGTGGGGGTTGTAAAATTTTCAGAATGTCCAGGTTGGACAGTTGTCACACGTATTCTCTCAGTTGATTCGACAAATAGAGCTTCCGTTATCAATCTCTCCCTCTACCCTGTTATATAAGATTTTAGTACTGTCAACTTATCACTATAAGGTTGTGTGTAATTGCATATATTGCTATAGCTGAACTATTCTTCAAATTTCTTATTTTATTAGGGTCAACTAATCCAGATTTTGCTGGGTTTTTATGCTCCTCTTGTCTGACTGATCCCGTTCTACTACTGTGACCTGACAATCATTGCGGGTTGTTAGATAAACTAAATTGTGTGTGTGTTAAATTGGCTTCACAGGATCCTTGAAACGACAACATTTGTTTGTAAGTGAGTTTGATTGCCACTTTTATTCCTGCCTTGTTAATGATTCTACTCAAGATTTCCGAGGTTCCTTCACTGTGTGAAAGTACAACTGATGATTTAAATTCCTTGCTGCTAGTGCCGTTAAATCATTCTGAGCATTTTTTCTATGTGTAGTTACAACTGATGTGATTATGAACAGCATTAAATTGTGTTCGAAACGTCATCCAGCAAATAATGTTCTTTCACTATGCGAAACATCTAATAAACATTAATTTGGAATAAACATCCGTTACCTCGTCCGTACAGCCTGAAACGCCGTGCTGGGACTCAAGGGATGGAAATAACCAGTCAGCTTCGAGATGGTTTATTTACTCTCATGGATCATATACATGTTGTTATCTGGTGTTCTCTATGGCGTCAGGTGTTTACTCTTCTAGTCAACATCACTTCACTAGAGAGTGCATTAGTCGAGTAATCAGTTCGCCGTAAGAGTAAACTTGTGGTGTTACCCAAGCGAACTGATCGTCAAAATCACCTCAAGCAACCCAGTCAGGTGAAACCATTGTGTAAAAATGCGTAATTTGTAGAGATGACATTTTGTGTAGCTGCCAGTGATGCAACCACTCATTTAGCCCGCATTGATTGGGTTATCTCAGATATAACTAGACACTGGTAGATCGGTAATAAGAATACATTGTCAATAAGGTCAAAGAGAGAGGGATCGTCTCTATGTTATCCAGTCATCACTGAAATATAAGGTGCCTGCTTCTTACTATTAGATTACCCGATTGATTTCCTAATGTCATTCTCCTGGTCAAACATCGTTTACATCTACTACCGGTCCTCTCAGTATGACCTTGAACGTGATTGGCCATTTCTCATGATTTTATCATCTCTTGTTGACTTGTAATGGTTGATGATTGCTTTATTAATTTGACAGACAGACTGAATGGCCTTTTGACCATGTGACCCCCTCATTTTTTATTATGCGATAAATCTGATCTCCGTGTCAATGTGTCTTTTGATAACAAATTCTGTAGTTTACGGATAATTCCCATCCAGGCAGCAATGATAAGAAAAAACAGGTTGTAGTGTTTACCGAAGAGGCTCTACTTGGCGAATTCATTTTCCTCTTTAGCTAGACAATCCTTAAAAGAGGACAGTAAAAATGTGAATAGTTGTCATAATCATAGTTGTTAATACTAAAAAGTATATCAGAAAACTTGAATAATGGTATTACAGTTACACAATAATTAAAAAAGAATTACAAATTAATGAGTTGTAATCACTATGAAATTTCAATAAAATAAGATGACCCGTGTCAACACTGGTATTTGAATATCCCACTCCTTATAGAACCAATGCTACCCTTCTGCAACTACGTGTAGGATGATGTTCTTAAACCACACTTTTAGACAGGATACATGTCAAACGCTCAATATGCCTCACTACACAGGAACAAGTGACCTGGTATGCATGCACACAGAAGTGTTCACATGAGAGACTCTGTATCTCTGGTTTCTTCAGACCAGTCGACGACTTGAGAAGAACACGACTCTTAGCTTCGCTGTCAATAGTGTTATTCCCGAGGACACTGGAAGTCTTCACGTGTTACGTCTCCTTTAAAATCAAGGTAGGTGTGAAGTGTCTGTTTTGGCACAAACGATGTTTGATTCGTTTGCACTCTTGGTTTGATGCTCCCATCTATTTGAGATGAAGATTTCCACCAGAAGGTCAAATTCTTGTTCTAGAGGATCAGGGCTACAGGTACGTCGGATCTGAGTGGCGAGGGATTTAATTAAGTTTCACTGTCATTCGAAAAGGATCCGACTGTGGAAATTTGTCAGTTGACCATTCCATGCAGATTTCCCATGGACTGACCTTCTTAAGTTTCCCTCGTCTCTCCTCATCAGCTCCCCATGGAGAAACATAATTTCGGATTCGTTTTCCATTTGAAGAATGCATCTCATTTCTGGATGTCAGTTGTTAAATACCTGTCACAACTGAGTGGGGTTGTAATTATTGTCACGAAGGATGACAATATCGTCCGTGTATCTCACATACGGTGGGAAACTATCAACAGTCAACTTTAATGGCCCGTTGAATGTCAACTGAAATGAAGACAGCCTCTACAGACAGGAGAACACAGCACCAACGACATCGGAGCACGCTGATATTTGGGGCGAGACAGGCAGTGAAACCAGGTACATAACGCTAGATTTATTAGGGAAGGAAGTGTTGATTGAAGTGTAATGGTATTAAACTTGACATCCGATTAGTTTTAAGTTAGGTTAAGATGGCGAAAGATTAGGGTTCAGTTTATGCCCGTGACAGGTTAGACGGAGATTCGGGGGCGGGGATATCAGGGTTGGTTAGAGCTTTGTTAGGGTTATGTGATGGAGAGATTTAGTAGGCACAGTACAATGGCCCTTTACGTAGTCGCTGGTGCGGTGTGCACGCCTGTTGGTTGTCTGAAGTTCAGCTATGTCCCTTCCCTCTCCTTGTGTCCATCACGTGCGAATTCAACTCAAGTTTATCCACTATCTCAGCCAATCACATGTTAGACATACAGTGAGTGGATGGTATTGACCTGTCAAAAAACCAAATAACCATCATCGAATCACTCAGGATCTTGTGGTTGTGGGACCAACCCTGATTGACCATTCATCCAGTTGGGCAGGAATTCGGTGAACCGTGAATTCTAACATCTGTCAGTTTGTGATACAACGCCACTACCCTTACCTACAATACCTTAGATAAGCACATCCACTTCACGCCGCACATAGTGAACCTCCAATGCCCACGATTTCTCTCATCAGGACATGCATCCAGTAGCTGTCAGTCAATAGGAGATTGATGTCAATGTAGATTTCGTCATGGGTGAGTACTGTTGCTAAGCAGTTTGGAGGTGGATGGACGAAACAGCTATCCAGTGTACCTTCTGCTCGTCTATGAGTGATCCTTTGTCACCGATGTTAGTTATTGACGAAATACCTACGAAAAGATTAATCCAAATTCCTACACACAAACAACTACCAATAGTCTAAATGTATATAGATATAATATATATTTATGTTTTAATCTACGACCTTTGATAGCTTATTGTGTCTCACTGACTCTATTCATTCCTGTTTTTATTCACATAACATTACAAAAATGAAGTATTTTATTCGACTAGGAATGTTACGCAATGTGTTTTTTCATGAGACATTTTATCACGTTTTGTACAATTATGTGTATCACTTTTCATATATGTGTGTGTACATAAAAACAATCTATTTATCGAGCTGTTGTATGTGGAATTTGACCGACGGTATAATGATCTGCAATCTGTTAATTATTTTCGTCAACTTGAACTGTATAACTAACTATCCAGTCTATTTTAATTGGAAATATTCTATTCAGCCTATATGACTTTGCTGGCTTCGCTAAGTGATCACAACCTCTTATGGTGTTTGAACTGATTTACCTGTTTGATGTGAGCCGATCCCCAAGAATATGTCAACAATGATGTCAAGTGTGTACTCCAGTGAAACCTATCTGGCTACCAGAGTTTACTAGTTGATATGTAAGTGATATCCGACTACTCATATCGATAGATCCGTTAGTAGTATGTAGCCTTATTGCTAGTTCTATTTACTGACTGACCAATATATGCGTGTTGTTGAAACTGATTCATCTGTCTTCCGTGTATCTATCTCTCACACAGAATTATACTAATAATTACCTGAAATTGCTCATATGAGTGATTGAAGTCTACTTATATATATATGTCAAACTGTGATACGTATCGATGAAGTTGACGAATATTAATGTAAACAAATGACTGTGACGTCAAATACATAGGTCAGAATAGTATATCAGGGTAGTCAAATAGTTGGAACAGAAGAATTTAGCTAAGGTTAGAATGATTGAGTCCGAGAAGACAAGTAATTTAGAAAAAAGCTCAGCAATCGCACTGCGTGCATTAACACACAATAGGGTGGGAGAGGGTTTCAAATTCTAAGAAGTAATATAAGTAGGTGGAGAGAGAGATTGATTACTGGATCCTTGTTAATCCAGTCAACACCTAAAACATGCAACAGAAATGACTCAACGCAAATACCAGAGATATAGAAGTTATTATTACCAGTCAGATCAGAGGAGGATGATAAATAATGTTAAAATGTATTCAATTCACATTATAACACTCTAACAAGTTACTTATTTTGACTATAAAACATCTTATTTCCCATCTTATTGTATTTTATTGATAACACTAATATTATTTCCCAGTGCACTTTGTCTTATATTGATTTTATTCAGATGTCTAGTCAATTTCTACTCATGTATATAAATGAAGCAAGTTGTGTGTGTGTGAGTGCCTTTGTATGATTATGAGTAATAATTTGTGCTCGAAAAGTCATCAGTAAATACTACTGTAAAGCATTATTAGATTTTGCCAAAATAAAATTTTATCCATAATGGAGTTATACTCCACTACAGTGCCCAAGATTTATCCTTATTAGTAAATGGGCCCTTGAGTGACGCTTAAAGTATCGGTCAAAGCATAGCATGCTAATTTAGGTGGATCCCATTTCCGACAGGTTTACTGGGTATAATATACAATTTGTTACTCTTGTTCACAACTACATCAGTCAGTGTATTTAATAATAATAATAATAATAATTTTTGCTTTATTCCAAAAACAGGACTAATGTTACAGCAAGGAATTTTCAGCATTCAGTACAATATTGCATCAAATTTACTCAAAAACGACAGAATACAAAATAAACATTACATAATAATAATAACAAAACGTTGTTATAGCAGCTATGTAGCAAATTACTGTATGCAATACGGAGAAAAATATGCATAAAGTATAAAATTATAGTAATAATAGTAATAACAAATAAAATAAAAATAGCAAAGTTATAGTTAAACGATGGAAAGGGTGACACCATAAAATTAAAGAAAGATGAACAATGTAAGGGTCGATTCACTTTGCTAATTACATAGTAACTTA